AGCTCAGAGGCCGAATGGCTGTAATCCGCAAAAGGTTTGTGATGCCAAGCTGCCGAGCAGCTCAGGCGAACTTGCTGAGTCAGGGAGATCCGGGGCCAAGAGTCTGCGATTCTCCTTCTTGGTCCTTTCTCTCCCAGCCCTTCCTGGCTCTACCTGGAAACCGCTCACTGGCCTCCCCACTTTGGGTGATGCCTCTATCTTGTGTGCCATGGATGGAATTCTCCCCCGTGACAGGACAGAAGAACGCCTGAGACCAGAGACGTTAGACCTGTGCAGACCGCCCCACGGGCTCCCCAGCCGCGACCCCGCCTCAGCTCGCCATTTCTCCTTCCCTCCGCAGGTGCTTACTGCTCTGTTGTCAAGTGGCCTGGCTTTACTTGGAGCCCTGATTTGCTTTGTCACTTCTGGAGCTGCTCTGAAAGATGGTCCTTTTTGCATGTTTGACACTTCATCCTTCAATCAGACACAAGCTTGGAAATATGGTTACCCATTCAAAGACCTGCATAGTAGGTAAATGGGTGGAGGCTCGGGCTTGGTCTTTTCAGAGAGAGAGAGGGAGAGACAAAAAGACACAGATGAACTACAAGCTCCTTTGGGTCACACATCCTAGCATCTTGCTCCTCTGATGCTCAGAAAATTGCAAAGGCAGCAGGAATGGTCACCCTCAGGAGCCCAGTCCCATGACCCAGTCAGGAGAGGCTCCCGTTTTCTACTGGGGTTGCCTGTTTGGCTTTCCTTACTTATTGCCCGACCCCTGGTCTCCTGATTTTTTGGGATAGGAATTATCTGTATGACCGTTTGCTCTGGAACTCCGTCTGCCTGGAGCCCTCTACAGCTGTTGTCTGGCATGTGTCCCTCTTCTCCGCCCTTCTGTGCATCAGCCTGCTCCAGCTTCTCCTGGTGGTCGCTCACGTCATCAACAGCCTCCTGGGCCTTTTCTGCAGCCTCTGTGAGAAGTGACAGGCAGAACCTTCTCGTTCAAGCAGGGGTGTTTTCATCATTGGTTGCCTGAATCCTTTCTACAAGGAGTGGGTACAAATTATAAACCAACTTTCTCTTTGGGTATCTCTGGAGAAATAATGACAACAAAATTCACTGCATGTCGGTTGAATGACAGAATGCATTTTAAATCACATTGTAATCTTCCAGGTGATCCATGGATAGGACAAATAACTAAGTCTTTATAATTGTGTAGGAATATGTAGTTCATAAAATACCCTCCAGCCAGGATCTCATTTCAGCTTCTTGACAATCCCATACAATTGGCCGCTTGTTACACGTCGAGAAGCTGAGGCTCACAGAGGGCGGCAGGCTTGCTACACAAAAGCACACAGTGAAATTCAGGTGAAGTCAGCACCCGACCCCCATCTCCCTGTTTTTCTGTTGTTGTTGAGACAGGGTCTTGCTCTGTTCCCCTGGCTGGAGTACAGTGGCACAACCATGGCTTACTGTAACCTAGAACCCATGCATTCAAGTGATCCTCTTGCCTCAGCCTCTGACTAGCTGGGACTACAGGCACACACCACTCTACCTGGCTGATTTTAATTTTTGTACGGATGGAGTCTTGCTACATTGCCCCGTCTGGTCTT